ATATATACTCTTCGACAAAGAGTCACTGTGGCTGACAAGAGATGAAGCTAGCACATCAATTATATGTCTAACACGGAACAAGATCTACCACCTCTTAAGGAGGAAAAGATAACATAATCCATATTGGTAATGACAAGCTTTGTGTGAGATAATGTATGAATACTCATAAGATTAATTACTAGATTAGATGAATCTACCAATGAAAATTGTACACTATAAACTACTTAATAAAATGATCTACCATCTTCACTATGGTTTGTCACTCAAAATAGTATCACAATTTTTATAGAATTTTTAAGCTCCGTAGGTGTGTTGATGGCGTTACTTATTGAGTTTTTGTATTTGTATGAGAGATATATATTTATTAAGAGGAGGTTATTTCTTGGATTGTTTATGGATATATTTGTATACACATTTCTATATTGATAATATATGTCCATTATAGACTTATCATTTTTTTTTTGTGATCATCCAAAATGTCTCTTATAAATAGGGTATATAATTATGTGCTTTTATAACTCTTATTTCTCCTTTTCTTGTTCTAATAATGTGAGATTTTTTTTGTATCTCAACAAATGAGAAAAAAGAATGAAATTGAAAGGCATAAAAATTTGTTTTGATGATAAATAAATATGCTTAATGAATTAATACAAGTAGTAGGTCAATAGGGATCACAATGTAAACTCGGCAGTTCATATCACCAACTCACCTAATTTTAGTGGCTTGGGTTGGAAAAATAAATCGACTAACTCACCTAACTTACCCTAGCTAACTCTCCAATCGGACAGATTCAACTTGCTAATTAACTCACTGCCTCAATTCGTCGACCCACTTTTTTTAATTTGTTTTAAATTATATATTTGTAGTGAATTTATGTTAGATCAATATTTTTATTTTATAGTTTAACTTTTTTCTAAGTAATTATTCTTATTTTATATAAATAAAAATATAATATTTTAATCACATTTTTTAACTAGTATATTTTTATGTATAATATCTTTTTT